CGAGGTCCAGAGCTTTGGGTAGATCTCGTCGTACCATATCACTTCCGAGGGAATAGCACACATGTTACCAGGGCTGCATTGGGCAGCGTGACTCGTAAATCGCTTTCTGGACTGGAGTCTCGTTATCGTGGGTGCAGTCCATGAAGAGGGCGTGAACGGGCACGGGTTTGATCTTGCGAACAATTTCGCGGGAGGACTGTGAGTGATCATTGGTGGTTTCGCCAGGAGATCTCGGGGGGCTGGCAGGCGACTTGGGGTCGGCCCTCGATAACTCGTCCACTTCAAAGCTGCCAATAGGGCGCCCTCCATGTCGGTGTACCAGTCTGCTGAGCTCTCCTGTGCTCCACGCCTGCATGGCCTCTCGAATCAGGGAGCTGAGACCGAGCCTCTTAACAAAGACGTAGTCCATCTCTTCAGAACCGCTGAAGAGCTCAGCCACAACGTAAAGGTCTGGTCGCACGCGACGCGCCTCATCGAGTATGTGCTCAGCGACGTGCAGAGGAGTGGAGTGGCAGTTGTCTATGCGGAAACCGGCAAAGTACTTAGCAAGCATGCGAGCGTACTTGGTCATGTAATCCCAGAGGAAGGGGCTGTCTTTGGGTCCGCTGCCATAACGGAGCTTGACACAATCGCCCCAGACAATGACCTCGCGCCTGAGATACACTCGGGAGTCAGGCCCGGCATTGTCTATGAGGGCATTACCGGCCCAGACCCATCCATTGTTGGCAAGCGACAGCTCTTCCTTCTTGTGTTTGGATGTAGTGGCATTTTCGGGCAGTCGCGTAAAGTACGACTCGATGAGAGGGTTCTTCTCATTGATGGGTCCCATTTTTGGCCCGTGCTCGTCCAGGCGACAGTATTTGATGCGGTTGAAAAGCTGGTCCAGAATCACAGCAACTTCGTCGTCGTACTCCTTATAGAAGGGCAAATTGACTTCGTCGAGGACAGCGAGAATCTTGGTCTTGGCAGCCGCCTGGTCCGGCGTCGGACCAGAATTGCCTTCATAGCGGCCAAAGATGGCTGACAGAAGACCAGCGGCGACCTCTGGTTTCACCCTCCTCCTGAAGCGCTCGCCAAGACGGTTCTTGTTCAGTAGACCGTTCTTGATGAGGAACTGGGCCTGTTCTTTCTGTGGTGCCTCTTTGAGACCTAGGACACCGTCCGCACCCACTGAACTCTCGGGGAACTCCACCTTGTCGGCAACCCATGCGTCCACAGCGGCGTCAACGTCGCGCTCCACGTCAATGGCGTAGTATTCCCAGAGGCGGATCTCGGCAATGACTTGCTTTTTGATGGCATCCATGACCTTGACAAGGTCGTCATTGCTCTTGAGGTCCGTGGGCAGGCCAAGCTTCTCAAGATTTGCGCTGAGCTCCAGAAGCTTCGTGTCAAGCAGCCACGCAGACTCGAGCCAGGGCGCGGTCACCAGATTATAGCCCGAGTCGGGGTGTTCTTGCAGCCACTTACTATTATGCGCCGTGTGATTCAGAACAATGTCGGTCAGACTGAGCAGAGAGTGGTTCTTCTCGAGGCTATCGACCATGCCCTGTACGTCCTTTTCGCCGCCGGGGAAACAATCCGGGTCCCAGCCCAGCTGATCGTACAGACTGTAGGGTGAATTAGATGCGCCGCGGACTTGCAGAGGCGTGAAGTGAATCATGTTGTAACCCCGATCGCTGATGCCACGAAGGTGACGCTCCCAGTCGGTAGGGTATTTGCCCATGAATTTGCTGATGACGGAATAGATGGACAGCGCAGGCAGCGGCAACGGCCGGCCATCAAGAGATAGACGAGGGGCGACATCGATGTAGTAAAGAGGCGTCTTCTTGTGCGTTGTTTCTGTTTCAGGCTTGGAGCTCAGCTCGGCGGCGAGATCGGGAAGCTCGGCGTAGGTAGTGTAGAAAGCGTAGGCACCAGCTTGGAAGATGGGAATCGAGATTTCGATGGTGCGGTTGAAATCGGGAACGAGCCTGCGAGTTCCAGTCAATCTCAAGGCGCTGTAATGGTGCAGTGAAGCACACAGGGTTATCACGCGTTTGCCGTGTGACCAGCGGTCTTACTTGAATTCGCGGAACTTGTCTCTGCGAAACTCAGCACCCTGGTCAGGAATGTTGACCCAAAGACTGCCATGGCGACAAACAGAGGAGGTGCCCTCAATGGCGAAGCGAATGGTAACGGGTTCGTTGTTCTTGGGCGCTAAGTAGATGTATTCTCCGGCGATTTGAGGCGAGCCATCATCGTTCAGTGGAAGAAGGTAGACTTCGTTGGAGATCATGGTCTTGGGTATCATGGTCAGCAAATGTGATGGAGGGAGCTTCGTGCCCCACGGACGTCGATAAGATCCAAGAGAGCTTCGCAGCGTGAAGGCATCCAGCTGACGGAAGGGACGGAGGGGGCAGCCAGGAGTACAAGAAGGAAATCGGAGGGCAAGTTCAGACGGACATAGGAGCGAAAGGGGGTAATATGTGACCGGCCGGTAGGGTAGAAGGGCAAAAAGGCGGTCGCGGGAATGGACGGTGTGGCAACCGGGGTGCGGAAGTAAAGTGATGATATGATGATGGAGGATTATGTTGGAGGAGGGCTGAGCTGTATGGTAGCTCACACGTGGTGGGGTAGGGTATGGGTCGAGAGGAAGACAACGGAGAGGATGGAAGGCACAGATGAGACGCGAAACAATCTTGTCTGGTCTGATGCTTGTGGCGCCAACAGGCCAGCAAGCTTTGCCTGCCAAGAAGACCGAGGGGAGGGGGTTTGAGCAAAGCTCTTGCAGAGTTCTTCACTGGCGTCGCCGTCCCAATCTGAATGCGGCATGGGGGGCGCGGTCCGGCGTGGAGGTGAGGTGAGCTCAGCTTGTAGGAAGGCGGGAGCTACCTGGAGCCTTCTTTGCCTGTCCTGTCAAGCGAGTCCTTGAAGGGAGGGGCCGGGATCCCATGGTGAAGCGAAGACACGGAAGACAGGTACAAGGGGATCGGCAGGGCTGGACTACTTCCATGGCACCTTGCTGCCGGCTGTTGGGGGCATGTGGGCGGCCAAGCGAGCAGTCGCACTCGCGGTGACGGTGAGGCGAGGGAAGGTGAGGTGAGGTGATAAAGGCTAGCGCTGTGCCACGGCCGAGCACTGGCCTAGCAAGCCAACAGTAGGTTTGTTTGCTTCCATGCCTTGTTGACGCGCGCAAGTGAAGAAGCCTGCGACCGTGTCTCGGAGTCTTGGGGGAAAGGGGAGGTGGCTTTCTGGATAGGAAGTTTTGGGCATGCGCTTACCTCCTGGTTCATGGTGTTTTGCTTGTGAGCAAGTTGAGCGAAAGGTGCGCCGACACTACCGATGCTCCGATGGTTCCGCTCCGTTGGGGATATTCGTTGGCTGAAGACACGAGAAGATGATGGGTAGCAACTAAAAGTAGCTGCTGGATCGAGGGGGCTGAGGTAGGTAGGCGAGATCGCGAGCAATTGCCTGCTTGCTTGCTGGAAGATTTCGCCAGTCCCAACCTCGATCGCATCTCTGATCGGCCGGAGTCTGAGCTCCCCCCCCCCCTCCTCTCCCTCGCAGCACCGACGTCATGCCACTTAACGAGACGGCTTTGGGCTTAGTGTTGGATATTTCCCGCACAGGCCAGACGGGCCAGACTCGTCAGACGCTGTGACATGAGAGGGGCCCGCCCCGCTGCTGGCACCCAGCTCGTGCAAGTCTGGCCTAGCGCTCTACCATGTACGTCGTGTTCCTGGCACCATCGACCGATGAGTTCCGTGGTCGGGGCCTCGCGAGCGCTTCCCAGTAATCGGAATGACGATCTCTTGGAGCCTCAAATGCTGCCCGAGAAAGAGGGAAAATGTCACAGGGGGTCGTAATTGGATGAGACGGTCACATCGAGCGAGCGCTGTTGCTGGCACCGGGCTGACATGAGAAGGGAGAAACGCCGTCGATTATCCGATGTGAGAGGCGGCCGTCGGGTGCAATGCGCCAAGCTTCTTTTCGGATTGGCAGCACACCTTGAGAAGCTCGGGTTGTTGCTTGATGTGGCAGTAAACCTGCTTTGCTGGGGCAAAATCCCACAGGCGATGAAATGGAAGGACTGAGGTGCTCGGTGTCCATGTGTTTTGCAGCGGGCGATGCTGCGTATTTGCTTGTCGCTCTCGTCTCGCTCAGGAGCGCACTTGAGCGCCCTCATTCGAAAGGACTGGATTGGTTCCTTCAAACATGTTTGATGCTCCCGGAACACGCTTCTCCTTTGAGGCAGAGCATTGTCGAGTGAACCAGATTGCAATTGAAGAAATGTGAATTGACGAACGTGGACACGACGCGAAATTGCTGATCAGGCGGTGGAGTTCGCGGTCTTTGGACTTTCTTCTCAGCATGATGCCCATCACGAGCGAATGACCGAGAGCCTCGGGAAGTTCTGATGACTTTGCAACACCTGACGACGGCGCCGAGCGGCATGGTTAGGCCACCGAACGTCGCCAAACGTAACCAGCGTCTGGCCTTCTCGCCACCCGGGATTGCCAGGCACAGGGCACGGCCGACCGACGATCCCCAACCAAATCAAAGCCGACATGTGAAAACCCATATACAACGGCCCAGCAACGGGGGACCCGAAATAAATTTGGAAAGATGCGCGCGGCATTCGCCTCGTCTTCCGAGCCTCTAGGGGGCCTCCACCACGGACGGCACTGCCGATCCACGGCACCAATCAATTTGATAGTCTGAAAGAGGCTCCTAATAAGTTCACCCTCGGTTCATGCGCATGCCTGTGAAAAGCCCAGGCTTCAGTTATCGGCACCAAAAGGTAACCAGGTAGGAAGACAAAGAACAAGTAGTAGCAGGTCATCGGTCAATTGGCGCATGAGCTGCCTCGGCCAGCGAAGCTTCGATGCCTCGCCGAGGAGCAACACAGCACTGGCGCTTGCCTGACTTTGTTCGATGGTGCTCAACCCCTGCCCTTTTCGTTGGGCGACCTTGCCCTCTACAGCAGGCGGTCAGCCGTTCTGCCCCCGCCCCCCCTCCTGCGTCATGGGTGCCGTTCCACTGAAGCTCAACGCCTGTGACGGCGACTCGATAGCGGGCGGGCCGTTTGGAGGGAGGGTCCCAGTCTCGTGCTTGCGCTGGTTGCGCCGAGGACGCCTGGCTGGAGCAAGCCACGACACCACCTACCTATACTGAGCGCACACATCAGCAAACGGCAAGACCCCTATATTGACCTTTCCTTCAGCTCGTGGCGATATTCGTCTAGAACAGTGCTTTACGCCAGGGTCCCCCGCCTTCACCTCCACACTCAACCCTCCCTCTGCCGGCCCTGCTTATAACGGCGACCATCCTCTCTCCATCACGCCAACGCCTTGTGATACCTCATGCTTTTTCGCCCCTCCTCGATACCCCTCCACACATTGTCACTCGCAAGAGCAACTGGCTATCGTACTCGACCTCTCCGCATAGTCACCCGTCGAGTCTCTACAACCACCAACAACATGGCGACGCTCGGCCTCGACATCACGAAGAAGCACAAGGTGACTGTTGTCGGTTCCGGCAACTGGTAAGTGCAGCCTGCCTGGTCATATTGCCCACGAGCCTTGTCTGACGTAGCACCAGGGGCTCTACCATTTCCAAAATCGTTGCCGAGAACACCAAGGCGTTCCCCGATATCTTCGAGGAGGAGGTTCAGATGTGGGTGTATGAGGAGGATGTCACTCTGTCCGAAGACTCTCCCTACTACGACTCGGCCACGGGTTCATCACCGCAAAAGCTCACTCACATTATCAACACGCACCACGAGAACACAAAGTACCTGCCTGGGGTCCGTCTGCCGACAAACCTGATTGCAAACCCCTCGGTCGTCGACGCCGCCCGCGATGCTACGATTCTCATTTTCAACCTGCCCCACCAGTTTATTGGCAAAGTCTGCGACCAGCTGCGCGCAATATTCTCCCCTGTGCTCGGGCATCTCCTGCATCAAGGGTGTCAATGTCTCAGACGACGGTGTCTCCCTCTTCTCCGAATGGATCGGTGACGGTCTCGGCATCTACGTTGGTGCCCTGTCTGGCGTCAACATTGCTTTCGGAGATTGCTGCCGAGAATTGGTCCGAGACGACTATTGCATATGACCATCCTCAATGGATAAGTGGCGCGTGCCTACCCGGCGCGCGCCTCCGTGACGCATCGCTGCCCTGCCTTGCGACGGTTGCCAGTCAAAGCGGCCCAACGGCGCCACAAAGATTATGCTGGCCTCCAGGGTATGACGCCTGTTTCACTGCATCCACAAGGATGCCCGCGGCCGCGCTTCCAAAACGAAGCTCACGCCCTTCCGGCTACCTACCCACCCTCGACCACGAGACGTTCAAGCAGCTCTTCCATCGCCCCTACTTCCATGTGCGTATGGTCTCCCGATGTTGCTGGTGTGTCCCTTGGTGGTGCCCTGAAGAACATCGTCGCTCTGGCCGCCGGCTTCGTCGACGGCCGCGGCTGGGGTGACAACGCCAAGGCTGCCATCATGCGCATCGGCCTCCTCGAGATGGTTGCCTTTGGCCAGGCCTTCTTCGGCCAAACGGTCCGTCCCGCCACCTTCACAGAGGAGTCGGCCGGCGTCGCCGATCTCATTACCTCATGCAGCGGCGGCCGTAACTTCCGTTGCGCTCGCAAGGCCGTCCTCGAGGGCCTCACCGTGCAGGAGGTTGAGGAGCGCGAGCTCAATGGACAGAAGCTGCAGGGCACGAGCACAGCCGCCGAGGTCAATAGCTTCCTCAAGGCCCGCGGGCTCGAGAAGGAGTATCCCCTCTTCACTGCCGTTCACGAGATCCTCGAGGGCCGCAACAGCGTGGACGACATTCCTCAGTTGGTGTCCGATAACTAAGGGGATGCGTCGCGGGTGTGCGGAGGTAATACGTCAGTGATGCATGTGGTAGATGACAGCTCATACGAGCAGCAAGATTTCGCTCCACAGTCTCTCAACGTGGCGAGCAAAGAGTCAGGCACGAAGAGGCGTTCGGCTCAGAGGGGCGGGAGGGGACAGGTCAAGGTTGAGGGTTCGTTGATATCCAGAATTGAATGCATAATGGTTTCGCTGTTCTACTTCCTGTTGTCCGGATCGTTTATTGCTGGTTCATTACGCTGATGTGCCTGCCTATCTTACACCAGGCACCCTAGGCCTTTAGGCTCGCCACCGATAAACTTAGTGCATGCTACAAAGCGGTACTGTATTCGATGTTGCTATGGAATTGATCATACTCCTAAACATGGCTTGACCCAAGTCATTTAGTCTCGCAGCTCACCCTCTCCAGACCCCAGCCCTCCTTGGTGCTCGCCGGCGCCAAATACGATGCGGCAGCACAATGCTAGCCATCCTCTACTCTTGGCCATTGAATCCTGCTGGTCACGTCCTTGGGCAGCTCCCCGATGCCAGTTTAACTTGGATCACCTCGAAGCTCCCAGGTGTGTCCAAGTATTGGTACCCTGACCGACGATCCGGAACAAGCTTTTCTGGATAGCACGTCGTGCAAGCCGTTCAAAGGGGGCTTTCGGGACCCGTTCTGGAAAAATCAGGGCCTCCACCGATTACCAGTTCTACAGATTCATTTGCTTCGGAACTGGACTCCAATTTTGTGGTCCGATCATCCCAGTCACGAGAATCCTTCTTGCCCGACACGAAGACCAGGCGCATATAATACCGGTTGTCTTTGGCGTCGATAGCGCACCTGGTCATTTGAATCAGGGCATCGATCTGTTCATCGTTGAGACCACGAAGGGTGAACTTGGTGCGGTCAATGTGAGAGATGTAGCTGTGAAGGACCTGGCGAAAGAGAGCTCCGGCCACTTTTCTCTTCAACCAGCTCTGGGTTAAACGTTAGCTAGGAAGATCTTCGATATTCTCTTCAAGATGATGAGACTCACCATATCCTGTTGTTGGCCAATAGGTACCAATTGGGTCATGACCTCAACTTCGGTGAAACCAGCGGTACCTAGCGCATCTACCAGGTCCTCCACAGGATGAACAGCCTTAAGATCCGGCAGAGTCTCCTTGCAGAGAAGTCGGAAGAAAATATTCAGTGGATGATCGAAGTTCTCCGGCTCGTCTCGCTTCCGGACTATGGGTTCGAACGCTTGAATTTCTAGATAACCCCCGTTGTTGAGGGCCCTATGTGTCACATCGTTAACTCAATCCTGCTTTTAAGGAACCGGTGCAGAACTCACGAGTAGCAAGTATCAAGGAGATAGTTCCGGTCTGTGACTTGAGCGATAGCGTGGCTGACCCGTATCATGTCCACCAGGTCGTCCGATGAGGCGCGAGATCCGACCGGAGGGCCATGGACAATATTCATGTCGACGAAGTGAAGGTTCGGTGGCATAGGCGTAGGCTCTATCGTGAGCAGGTCGTCGTACCTATCCCCTGCGTATATATCCGTCCCGAGACGTCCACATTTTCCGGCAACTGAAACCATGTTAGTATCATCATAGAGCGACTGCTTTTGATTCCGATACGAACCGTCAGAGGCCCAGACGCCGCTCCCCGCGCCCAAGTCGAGAAAGTTCTTTGAGGCAGGTTCGATGAGAGACAGACAAGGTTGGCTATATAGCTTCATCTGCAAAGTATGACGTGTGTTCTCGGACGAGGTCCTGGCGTAGACGAATTTCAGGTTGTCTTCGTCAAGGCGTCCGATTAGGTCGCCAGGAAGCCCAAGACCAAAGGTAGCCAAGCTAAGTGAGCCAGGGGTTCTGAGGAGAACTTTGAAATAGTTCATGTGCCTCTTGTAAGCAACGACTCCCGGGCCTTGTGGGAGCTTGCGAGGGAAAGAGCAATACGATGAGGCACCCTGGTTCATGGAGTGCAGAAAGTCAGTTTCACCGCAAGTAGTGGGTTCAATTAGTGAACAGAAGTGCGGGTGGCTTACCAGTCCCTTCACGGTAGTTGAGGTAGACGAAATCAACTCCTTCTCCGAAAATATGATGGGAGGAGACGGCGATATCGCTGCGCGTGTGATCACCTCGCTGCCGTTGGGTGTATGACTGCTGTCGGCGTCGCAAGGCTGATCGTTTAAGGGAGCCGGTTTATCTTGGGTAACAGGAGTTCGCGTGTCACTTGTTTTCTGTCGCTTGGCCATAGGAACTCCTTTGTTTTTGCCGTCTCGCATATTGACTACGGTTTTGTGTGCCCGCTTTTGCTTACGGGCACGCGGGTCCGGCTCTTGCGCTCGATGGGCGGACTGATAAAGAGCGAATCTCAGGAGGGATTCTGGGTCAGACATGTGGGTAGCTGGTAAACGTCTTTGCGGTCATGGATGATTGTATGGTAAAAGAAGGAGAAGTATTGAAAGGTAGGACGAGGGCGGAGACAAAGCAGACGACAGACGACTTCTGAGAGGTACGCACAAGTATGGTGGCGTGAATGGTTGTCCGAGCACTGCGTCGCGGTAAAGACGAGCTTAAGACAGGCAACAACGCTTTCTCTCCGGCGGCAGGCACAAGAGCTCTTTCCAGTGCACGCCAGAATAGAGGCGATGCCGTGTCCTGGTAGATGCTTAGATCGAGGGCAACTGCTCAAGGAACCCTAGGGGAAGGAGCCATAACCTGGGTACCTAAGCTAGAAATCTCCATCAAGGGACTATGTGTCATCCCATTAAATGTACGCATATTCACCTCTGATAACTAAGAGCTGCCTATATATGAAGAGCTTGGTCGCTGGGCGATCAGGATGCACTGAATGAGTGGTTGTGACCCTCCTTCCCCACGCTCGAGGCCTACGATGTTGGAGAACACTGATGCAGTGGACGGGTTAAAGCAGGCGTCTGCATGCATCCAAAGAGCATACCCAGACTGCGACGAGACTTTCGAGCATCAGCGGTTTCCGTATCGCATAAATCACAATACATACTGCTGAATCCCGTGCATTGTGATGTGTCCGGTTCAATATTCGTATACCTGAGATGGTTGGAGAGACCTGATCGCGCTCAGCTCAGGGCGCCCAGACGAGTCACGCGATACCTTGCCGTCTTGAGATGGAAGGGTCATAAAGCATGCCAGAGCTCTCGCGAGCCGATGAGCGCATGACGGATAAGACGGCAGTGGCCTCGAAGATCTCGAAGATGGGACGAAGTGCGCAGAGCCGACGGCTCGAAATGGTGCGACGTCGACATGTCGAGATAGAGTGCCTTACATAAGGCTGGCAGGCAGTCCGTGGCCAAATTGCCAAGCCAGAGAGATGCGGGATGCGGCAGCTTAAGATACCCGGCCCCTGCGTAGGGGCGCGCCCCGCGCCAGCCCCATTAGGAGTGTGACCCCCCCTGCTTCCTACACTCACCAATGGTCGACCCCAATCCCTCCACGCGCACGTTGGTCCTCTTTCCAAAGCACGACGATCCATGCACACTGCTACCCCTCAGTCATTCACAAGCTTCCTCTCGCTCTTCCGATCGCCGTCAGGGCTCATCAGGGTCTTTGAAGCGCTTCCAGGAACGGTCTAGATCCTCAACCCTCGCACCCTGGTCGCCGGGATGAGTGCCCAAACGTACTCGACTCCGTGGCCATCAACGTGCGTCCGTCCATGGCGCGGTTGTCCATGATAAAAGGGCTCATGCTCTCCCGTGCAGCAACATGGCCGTTGTTGCCTTGCCACACCACTTTCCCCGAGCTCGAATGCCAGCCACTATGGGTCTGAAGCCTCTCGCTTTTACCGCGGCCTTCGTTGCCCTCGCCACCCAGCCCTGGCTGTCAGCTGCTGTCGAGCTCCAACTCAACGTGACGGCCTACACGTTCGGTCTCGTAGAGTCGGACGCCACGGCTGTCTACTACTCCGAGTCACAGCCCTTGCTCATCAGCAACGATGGTGGTGCCTCGACCGGTGGCTTTCACACCTGGGACCTCGATGGCGATGCACCTCTGCAAGCACTAAAGAGCGTGAACACCGGCAGGACCAAGCTTGTGGCGACTGTCCATGATGTTGGCGGCAGAGATATTCTCGTTTCAATCCCAGCGACTACCTCCATCCTCAGTGCGTACGAACTTCCGTCTCTGAAGGAGCTCGATGATGCCCGTTTCGTCGCTCTCGGCGATTGGTCAGCCTTGTGCTCCTGGAAGGCTCCCAGCGCCAACAACTACGTCTTCCTCTTTGGCAAGAGCTCAGGTCACCAGTACTTGGTCCGCGAAGCTGGAGAGTCTGTTGAATTTGTGGAGGTATAATTTGGCCATGCTAGCTGTCCTGGATTCATGCTGATGCCGCCAGGTCCAATCCTTTGACGTCCCCACGGAGTTCGCCGGATGCGCGGTCTCTAGCAAGCAATCCAAGTTGATCCTCACACCGAATGACGGTGACGAAATTCACCAAATCGATCTTGCTGAATCGACTTCTACCCCTGGGCTCTCTGTCCTTGGTAAGACCGAGGACACAGCTACAGGCATAGCCGTATACACATCTCAGGGGACTGACGCCGATTATCTCTTTATCGCGCAGGAGGGCACTGTTGCTGTCTACCGCTATCCATTTGAACTTGTCGGTACACTGGCCCTGACGGGTCTCGAGGACATTGAGGTCGAAGGCATCAGCCTTTACCAGGCCACCACCTCCAAGTACCCCCTTGGCGCGCTAGGCTTTGCGGCCGAGGCCGACAATTTTGAAGGTTTCGGCCTCAGTTCGCTCGAAAACATCTGGGAAGGCCTCGGTGTTGAGCCCAACACCGAGTATGATCCACGAGCTCTTCTCGGCTGTCGGAAGCGGGATCCCATCTGCGACGCTTGTTCCAATAACGGTTTCTGCACAACAAATTCTACTGCGTGCACTTGTTTCTCAGGCTTTGCCGGCACCGGCTGCAGCGACTTCACATGCCAAGATAATTGCTCTGGTCGTGGAACCTGCGTCGGCCCCAACGTTTGCCAATGTGAGAAGGGCTGGGGTGGTCTGCACTGCTCCTTCCTGCTCATCGAGCCGGCCTTTGAGACGGAAGCGAACGGCAACGATGGTGACGATCCAGCCATTTGGATATCCCCTGAATCTCCCGAAAAATCCCGCATCATCACAACGACCAAGTCTGAGACTGGTGCTGGCTTGGGAGTCTTCGACCTGGAAGGCAAGCTCCTTCAAATCTTCCCCGCTGGCCAGCCAAACAATGTTGATGTCATATACAACTTCAACCTTGGCAACAGAACCGTTGACCTCGCTTACGCAGCATGCCGTGCTGATGATACCCTCTGGTGAGATCCTAGATAAGGCGCGCAGCAGTATACAGTATATGCCAAGCTGACCAGCAACAGTTTGTTTGAGATCACGGCCGATGGTGTCCTGAAGGACATAGCTGGTAGCAGCCAGACCGCCAAGGTTGAGGACGGCCTGTACGGTTCGTGTGTCTACCGCTCCCGCCAGACTGGCAAGCAATATCTCTTTGTCAATGAAAAAACGGCACGGTACATGCAATACGAGCTCACTGCTTCTGCCAATGGAACCCTCGAGACGACACTTGTGCGGGAGTTCCAGGGCGGCTCGGGCGGTCAGGTCGAAGGGTGTGTCTCTGATGAAGAAAATGGGTGGGTATGGATCGGCGAGGAACCATCAGCACTCTGGCGATATGATGCGGAACCGGACTCGGAACCGACCGGCATCCGTGTCGCATACGTCGGCGACGGTCTTCTCTGGGGTGATGTCGAAGGCGTCACCTTGGTATTCGGCAAGACGCGAGAAGAAGGCTACCTTTTCGTATCTGCCCAGGGTGTCAGCGCCTACAATGTCTATCGCCGCGCCAGCCCCCACGAGTACGTCATGACTTTCACCCTCGTTGACTCGGCGGACGGCCAGATCGACCACGTTTCGAACACCGACAGTCTTGCCGCTGTTGGCGCCAACTTGGGCCCAGGCTTTCCTCACGGTCTGCTCGTTGTGCACGATGACACGAATGAGCTGCCAGGTGGAGGAGCCGATGTCCAAGCCAGTTATAAGGTTGTTGGCCTGGATAAAATCCTCGGCGCAGAGCCGTTTAAGGGGCTGAATCTACTTGACGGCATCGACCCAAACTGGGATCCTCGGGCTTGAGCGGGCTGACCGCCACTACCAACATTCGGGTAGTATCACATACTGAATTGATCGTATTTCTCCTGGCGCTGCCTGTCGCGAGATATCTGCGGTACCCAAGGATCCCAATGTGATGAATAAGGCATTGATAGGCCTGGTGCGGCCTCAGGAATCTCAGGCAGGTAAACCTTTCACGGGCAGCCACTAGAAGTAGTAGCGGCATGATCCGCCCTTCAAGGACACCATGAGTGTCCGAGATATCCTACGCGGTGCTTCAAAGATGCCAGTTCAAAGTCAGTACTCCATAACGGGGACACATGTCCATGACCTTGTTGTGGATATGTAGCTAATAAATGACCTGTCTTGATGACTTGTAGGGACTACAGTACTGGCTCCCGACTAAGGACGTGTGGCTGTGCTAAAACTCGTTTTGGACACCGAAGTTGTTTGAAATCATTGCCAACTATGCTGTACTCCTTTTGATGCTTGTTCGGGGATCTTGAACCGCGTTGGTAATGCCATTGCTGCCGCCCTCACAGTGGACCGCTACAGGCCAGATCAGGGTGTCATCTCACCGTTACCTCGAGTTGAATCTACTACGAATGTGTTTAATCGGTCTGGAAAAGGTCTGCGATAAAGTGACATCCTCGCCTATTCCAACCTTAATGCTGCCCTGTGGTACCCGGCTGTAACCACTTTAAGTGCCTTGGCAAGTCTCGGTACACATGTCGTTTTGTGCACTTAGTAACCATATTTAAGGTACGGAGACGCTACTCCACTTCAGCTGTCAGGGCACATCTTGAATAGAGCCGCATGCGGCGGCGTCCGAGTGGGGAGGGCCAATCACCACCTGGGTTCTCGTCCTATTCAGGGGTTCAATAGAGACTCGATCGGGTATTGAATAAGAGACTTAGGGACACCGAGTACATGCTTGCACACCTTCGGGGTTAGACGATTAAGCAAGCTGCCGTCATCTTTGTTTCTTGAGCCAAGTTCGCGCCAATTAGACCCCTTGTCTGGAAAGTGCGTCTGCCGACCCCTGACTTTCACACTTGCCATCTGAGGAGACGCCTTGTAGCGGCCCTTGAGAGCTTCAATGCTATCCGATCAGGAAGAAAGATGGCGTTCGACGGCTTTGTCCGCAAAGGCAGTCGGAGTGGTTCGCATGAGCTGGAATTCCAAACGAATCGCCCAAAGAAGTCCTGAATAAGCCTTGTCCTATTCAGACAGCACACCGAAGGTGTGTCCGCAAGTGATATCTGCCTTTGGGCTCCGAACCAGCCTTTAAACCAACGCAACCCGTGATGTCAGGTCGTTTGCTTCGCGATAGCCTCGATCTTTGAAGCAATATTGACTTGCTTTTGCGTGCGTGTGATAGAGGCGTCGTCTTCCAAGGTAAGAGTCGTGGATGGATGTTCTGGCCCAGCGTCGTGTGCCTACCTTGGCCCTGGATAATCGTGGCCACCAACTCCAGGCTCTCGTTATTGGGCTATTGAAATGAACAACCGACCCAGACCAATAAAGCACAACTGCCTCAACATGAATTATAAAGATGTTGCTCAGATCGCCCCCAAGACCAGATAATACCCCCTCTTCACTCGTCCCAGCTCCAACATCATTGAGCCAAAGGTCATCAGCGAACCTTGAGACAAGCAACTCTTTCAAGAACATCGAGTCCACCGCCACACGTTCACTACCCATCAGACAAACTGAGTTGATCCAACCCGTTCCCCTACCCAAGCCTCAGAATGAAGTTCCTCCTTTACGCGGCCGTCGTCGCGGCCGTCGCCAACGCTGCAGCGCTCCCCTTCGCCGAGCCCGGCAAGCCGTGCCCCCGACCTGGACAGGGCTGCTGGAAGGCCAGGCGTGCCCCCGAGCCCATTGCCATGCCCGAACCTGAGGCTGTTGCCGAGGCCGAGCCTGGCAAGCCATGCCCCCGTCCCGGACAGGGCTGCTGGAAGGCCAAGCGTGCCCCCGAGCCCATTGCCATGCCCGAGCCAGAGCCTGAGGCTGTTGCTGAGGCTGACCCTCAGAAGCCCTGCCCCCGACCTGGACAGGGCTGCTGGAAGAACAAGAAGCGCACGCCCGAGCCCGTCGCCATGCCCGAGCCAGAGCCTGAGGCTGTTGCCGAGGCTAACCCTCAGAAGCCCTGCCCCCGACCTGGACAGGGCTGCTGGAAGAACAAGCGCAGCGCCGAGCCCGAGTCCGTCGCCAGCCAGTGTACGTCCTTTCTCTGCCGTCTGATGTCCAAGGGAACGAACCCTGCCGTTGCCCGGGGGGCACAAGCAGCGGTTGATAGGTTGATCATTCATACTGACGCTGGTATCGACAGAGAAACTAGACGCGTTTCCAACATGGATCGTACTCGGACGGACATCTTGTTGAGAGCACCCGGTAGGTAGCTACCCCGTTAACACGGAATCTCGGCTCGTTTGCTGACTTAACCAGACGCTTCAAGGATTCTGATAGGTGATCGGTTCATGAACTTGAGGGTCAGGGGAGGAGGAGGAGGAAGGCAATGATCCAAAAGGAGCTCGCAGAAAAAAACTCGACAGAAAAAACTCAGCCCATGAAGCACCTCGAACACGGGAGGAAACGCACTAGAGCACCACATTTTCACTTCTTCAAGCCAAATGCGACAGGGCTCTTCAAGGAAGCAAGGAAACAGACAACTCATCTGCATCCTGACCTTTGCCCGCCGCATTTCAGCTCTTTCATTTCCACATGGCGGTTTTTGTTTCGTCAGGCAACTTGACGCCGCTCTTTTTCGAGGATGTATGTATCCCGTAGTCGATAGCTCTTATGTTGTACAATCGTGCGGCCAAATGAGAATCACTGGGTTCCGCCACTGGTGCTGATATGCTGCTGGCTCGTGATGAGGATATCTCTTGTCAAGATGTGGTAAATCGCAGGAGGCAGATGTTGCAGCACAACAAAGAGATGAAGTCGTTCGACCCCCAGACGCTTGCTTAGCACGTGATCTGGTGGGTCCTCTGCCTGTCCCGCGAACAGCATCATCAGCCATGGGTGCGACACAGGACCACAGCCACGTCCCAGTTGGGTGAGGTTGCAGCTAGTTGGACGGCTCGGTAACGATCATGGTACCGGTTTAATGCTGCGAGGCTGTCCCACAGTAGAATATCTCATTACGAGAGCTTAGCTACCAGCCCGCCTCACGCGCATCGAGATGCAGATATGTACGTTCAATCATTGCGATCCTTCCCATATGCCAAAAGGCAGGTAAGCACCGCACCCAAGATTGTTCGGTTTCCTCTCCATTCTGTATCCCCAGAGTTCAATGGTCGTGGGCTCAGCAGAGCGAACCTCGCATCAAGTTTGCATGGAAATCTGAATGTGATTTTTGCGTTGTTCATATTTGAATGAAGAGAGGAAAGGAAAACTGAAAAAGCCTGGCTGCCATGAGGAAGTTTTGTAGGTGCGGCGGCGGGGTCCAGAATCTTTGATAGCCAATCAAGGCTTTCAAAACCCCAGCGAATCAAACATGCGGCTCATCCTCGGCAGAAGACGAGCGACCCTAGCTGGACTCAAGTGGGACCTCCCCGCGACCACATGTTCCGGTTCCTGGATGCCATCATCGCGGTCCTGCGCCTGCCAAACTTACTCGTGACAGCTATTCTTGAGAACAGAACAACGGAACGCCATGGCGTTCCCAACAACAATGGCCTCTGGAGCGCTGCCTAGGTTTCTGCTGCCGAAGCTCAGCTGGCATACGCCCGCAAAAACATATCGATCTCTTTTGATCCCCGCGATCCAGCCCACGGCACCGTGGCAATCACAAACCACTTCATTTCACACTTCCAGCCAGACGCCACAATGCAGGAGAGCTGGCTCCCTGCCATACTCTGCACCAAACTCTTCCATGTTTCGGAAAACTTTCCACACGACGCCAGCAAGGCAGCGTGACCATCACTTTGACACCCTCAAGTTTGTCCAACGGCTCAAGGGCGAGGGCTTCACGGAGGAGCAAAGCTGCTGCCATGATGAAGGTGCTCAACGATGTCATCGAAGAGAGGTTTTTCCATCTTGATCTTTTCCTCCCTTCCGTATCGCTTGCTGACTGATGACCCCAGCATTCAAAATCTTACCCGCACAATGGTCCTTCGCGAAGACGCCGCCAAGGCCACTTATACCCAGAAAGTCGACTTCGCCAAGCTACGCTCCGAGCTCCTCTCCGCCGACAGCACCGAATCGAGTACCACGCGTGCCGCCCACGAGCGCCTGTCCAACGACATTACCAAGCTGAGCAGCCGTCTGCGTGACGAGATCGGCCGTACGCAAGCCAGTGTGCGTCTCGACCTCAATCTCGAGAAGGGCCGCATTCGAGAGGAAGCTGTGGGGCAGGAGTTGAAGATTAAGGAGACCGAGACCAAGATCGAACAGGAGGTGGCCGCGCTGCGGGAGAAGCTAGAGCAGGTCAAGTTCCAGACGCTGCAGTGGCTGATGGGTGTGTGTACTGGTTCTGCGGCGCTGCTGCTTGGTGCCTGGCGCTTGCTGATGTAACCAAACCACCAGAAATATGTACATATACACGAGCATAATCCACTTTGTATCAACAGCCGGCAAATTTGAGTGCTTGCGACTGTCATGTACCCCGGCATGTCTTTGAGGCGCAAGCGCCTTCTTTGATGGGCACCTCGATATTTTGGGCACTATACTTAGAAATGACAGCTTCTACGAGAAATCTGCAATCCAACCTCGACACCTGCTCCTTTGTCTCTTTTTTTTGCAAAGTCCAGCGATGTCGCTCACGGCTGAACCAACCGGCACGCTTGGTATCCCCAGCGCAGGCGTTCTCCATGAAGCTTCACAGATAATGAGGTGGAGCGAGGAGGTGCATGTCGGCAGCTTCTTTATCGACCCGCTCAGGAAGGATGAGATGGCTTCAGGATTCCCAATGCCATTCTAATATTATCCTCTCGTGTTTGGGCACATCGTTGTCAAGTCACAAGTGCGAGGTTAGTAACGTGTTGAGGGAAGGTTGCTGCGATGTGCAGGCTCTGGTGCTGGAAACAAAATTTCACATCACGAGCTACCTTACCTGGTACCTACCTACCTTACTCAGGTCCCTATCTTATGGTAGGTACCTCGGTATGTACTACTTCTCTCGACCTCTGACGCAAGCAGACGGTGATTCATTCAAGCACATAAAGTGTGAAAAATATGTGGCCTGCCTCGTAGGATGCAGTATGTAAGCAGATGCTTCACAGCCTCAGCTGGCTCCCAGGCCAGGCACTGCAGTTGTGCCTATCAGGCCTACCAAGACTTACGAGTGCCGTGACCAGGCTTGCCAGGTAACATCTGGACACCCCCTGAGACATCTTCATCTACACCCAGATCGGCTAGGCCCCAAACTTATCCCGCAGCTCCAGACGCTCAGATCCAGCCAGAAGCACTGATGGATCCCACGTGACCGTCACCACTCGACCCACCCAAGCACCAGGCAGGAGCAATCTGACTGGCACCTGCACCCTGCTGCCCCTGCCCGTCGCGAATGCAAGTGAACAGGTATTTGCACCTTACGTATCCTTACCTTGGTCCATCCCGATCTCAACCCAAACAAATCTCTCCACCCATCAACCGCCCACGACTTCCCACGTTTGCCCTCCAGATTGTCATCTCTGAGAGTTGCATCCTTGACGCGAACACGCCTCTCCGTCTTTTTGCTTCACGCCTTTTGCCTCGCCTGTATAATTGCTCGGTTCGCGCCCCCAACAGGACAGCTCGCGACGAAGCTCCCCTTTCTTCTCCTATCCGGGTTCCGATCCTAATCTCGCCAACAACTGTCCAACCTTGACACGCCACAAAAGACCGGAATCTTGACACAACCGCGACCGCCAGCTGTGCGTCAGACTTTTCCACCAGCTTGTCCGTCACAATCGCCGTCATGGCGGCCCTTCCGATCAGATTCGAGGAGCTCGTTCAGCTCAAGAGCGTCGGCGTGGAGGACTCGTCCATCACTTTCAACTCCTGCGTAAGCATCCCTCGCCTCATTCGGCCCAATGCTGCTACTGCGCCTTGTGACATGCCCTCTGACCCTGTCCGATGCAGACACTCGAATCAGATGCCTATGTTTGTATCCGAGAACAGAAGGGTGACGCCTCGCCCGAGGTCGTCATCGTCGACCTCAAGAATGGCAACAACGTCACCCGCCGCCCCATCAAGGCCGACAGTGCCATCATGCACTGGTCACGACAAGTCATCGCCCTGAAAGCGCAATCCAGAACTCTCCAGATCTTCGATCTCGAGCAGAAGCAGAAGCTCAAATCGGCCACGATGAACGAGGACGTCCAGTACTGGAAGTGGGTCACCGAGACCACGCTCGGCCTTGTCACCGAGTCGTCAGTGTTCCACTGGGACGTTTACGACCCGAGCCAGGCCGCCCCCGTCAAGATCTTTGAGCGCAATGCCAACCTCAGTGTAAGTCGCGCTTTCCCTGCCACATGCTGCGCTGCGCTGCACGACTGGTGGACGCATTTCTTTGCGTGCACGACTAACTCGTCCCACAGGGATGCCAAATCATCAATTACCGCACAAATGTCGATAACAAATGGATGGTCGTCGTCGGTATCGCCCAGCGCGAGGGACGCATCGTCGGTGCCATGCAACTCTACTCCAAAGACCGTGGTATCAGCCAAGCCATCGAGGGTCACGCTGCTGCCTTCGGCACCATCCGGTTGGAGGGTGCCCCAGCAGACACAAAGCTCTTCACATTCTCCGTCAGGACGGCAACCGGCGCGAAGCTTCACGTTGTCGAAGTTGACCACGCCGAGTCGAACCCTGTCTTCCAGAAGAAGGCGGTCGATGTGTACTTCCCACCTGAGGCGACCAACGATTTCCCCGTCGCTATGCAGGTCTCGCAGAAATACGGCGTCATTTTCATGGTTACCAAGTACGGCTTCATCCACGTCTACGATCTCGAGAGCGGCTCTTGCATCTTCATGAACCGTATTTCAAGCGATACCATCTTCACTACCTGCCCTGACAGGGACTCCTCCGGCATCGTCGGGATCAACCGCAAGGGTCAGGTACTCTTCGTGACGATTGACGACAGCAACATCATCTCGTATCTTCTCCAGAACCCTGCCAACACGGAAATGGCGATCAAGATGGCATCGCGTGCTGGTTTGCCCGGCGCCGACGACCTCTACAAGCGCCAATTCGAGCAGCTTTTCAACAACGGTAGCTACATGGAAGCCGCCAAGGTCGCTGCCAACTCGCCCCGCGGCTTTCTTCGATCCGCCGAGACCATCGAGAAGTTCAAGCGCCTGCCCCAGCAGCCTGGTTCAATGTCCTTCATTCTACAATACTTTGGCATGCTCCTCGACAAGGGCGCCCTCAACGAGCACGAAACTCTTGAGCTGGCGCAGCCCGTGCTTGCCCAGAACAGGATGAACCTGCTGGAGAAGTGGATGAAGGAGGGCAAGCTGCACAGCTCCGAGCGCCTCGGTGATCTCATCCGCCCCCACGATATCAACACGGCTTTGGCGGTGTACCTGAAGGCCAACGTACCCCAAAAGGTTGTCGCTGGCTTCGCCGAAACGGGCCAGTTCGACAAGATCCTGCCGTACTCGCAACAGGCTGGCTACTCACCAGATTACGTGCAGTTGCTGCAGCACATTGTTCGCATCAACCCCGAGAAGGGCGCCGAGTTTGCCACCTCTCTCGCCAACCACGAGGGCGGCTCTCTTGTAGACATTGCGCGGGTGGTGGACATCTTCCAGTCCCAGGGCATGATCCAGCAAGCTACTGCCTTCCTCTTGGATGCTTTGAAGGAGAACAGCCCGGAGCAGGGCCAGCTGCAGACTCGTCTTCTTGAGATGAACCTGATGAACGCCCCTCAAGTCGCCGATGCCATTCTTGGTAATGAGATGTTCTCCCACTTCGACAAGCCGCGCATCGCCTCCCTTTGTGAGCAGGCCGGCCTTTCGCAGAAGGCTTTGGAGCTCTACGAAGACCCCGAAGCCATCAAGCGCGTCGTTGTCAACATCGCAGGCACACCCAACTTCAATCAGGATTGGCTGAATGGCTTCTTCGGCAAGCTCTCCGTGGAACAGTCGCTCGACTGCCTGGATGCCATGATGAAGCACAACATTCGCCAGAACCTGCAGGCCGTGGTGACGATTGCCACCAAGTACAGCGACCTCCTGGGACCTGTTCAACTGGTTGATCTCTTTGAGAAGTATAAGACGGCCGAGGGTCTCTTCTATTACCTTGGTAGCGTTGTCAACCTCTCTGAGGAGCCTGATGTTATCTTCAAGTACATCGAGTCCGCCACCAAGATGGGCCAGTTCAATGAGGTGGAGCGCATTTGCCGCGACAACAACTTCTACAACGCCGAGAAGGTCAAGAACTTCCTCAAGGAGGCCAAGCTCCAGGAGCAGCTGCCTCTTATCATCGTCTGCGACCGTTTCAACTTTGTCCACGATCTCGTTCTCTACCTGTACCAGAACCAGCAGTTCCAGTCCATTGAGACATATGTCCAGCGTGTCAATCCTTCGAGGACCCCTGCCGTCATCGGTGGTCTCCTTGACGTTGACTGCGACGAGGGCATCATCAAGAACCTGCTGTCAACCGTCAACCCGCAGTCGATTCCCATCGACGACTTGGTGCAGGAGGTCGAGTCGCGCAACCGCCTCAAGCTTCTCCTGCCCTTCCTCGAGCAAATGCTCTCTGCCGGTATGGAGCAGCAAGCCGTTTACAACGCGCTGGCCAAGATCTACATTGACTCCAACAACAACCCCGAGAAGTTCCTCAAGGAGAACGACAAGTATGATTCCCTGAGTGTCGGCAAGTACTGTGAGAAACGCGACCCCAACCTCGCCTACATTGCCTACTCCAAGGGTCAGAACGACCTTGAGCTCGTCAACATCACCAATGAGAACTCCATGTACCGTGCTCAGGCCCGCTACCTGTTGGAGAGGTCTGACCGTGAGCTTTGGGACTTTGTCCTCAGCGAGAACAACATTCACCGCCGCTCCGTGATTGACCAGGTTACCTCGACGGCTGTACCCGAATCGACGGATCCCAGCAAGGTTTCTGTGGCTGTTGCCGCCCTGCTTGGCAATGATCTCCCCCTTGAGCTCATCGAGCTTCTTGAGAAAATTGTTCTCGAGCCTTCCCCCTTCAGCGACAACCAGAACCTGCAGAACCTTCTTCTGTTCACGGCTGCCAAGGCCGACAAGAGCAAGGTCATGGACTACATTCACAAGCTGGATGGCTACAGCGCGCCCGACATCGCCAACGCCTGTATTGAGGTCGGATTGCACGAGGAGGCCTTCGAGATCTACAAGAAGACTGGCGATAAGGGATCAGCTGTCAATGTTCTCGTTGATCACGTCGTTAGCATCGACCGGGCTCAGGCCTTTGCCGAGGAAGTTGACCAGCCGGAGGTCTGGTCCAAGGTTGCTAAGGCTCAGCTTGACGGTGTCCGTGTCAGCGATGCCATTGAGTCGTACATCAAGGCCGATGACCCCAGGAACTACGAGGAGGTCATTGAGACTGCTGTGCACGCTGGAAAGAACGAGGAGCTTGTTAAGTACCTCCGCATGGCGCGTAAGACCCTGCGCGAGCCTCCTATTGATACGGCCCTTGCTTTCTGCTACGCTCGCCTAGATCAGCTCAGCGAGCTAGAGGACTTCCTCCGCGGCACTAATGTGGCTAATATTGAGGAGTCTGGAGACAAGGCCTATGAAGAGGGTTTCTTCGAAGCTGCTAAGATCTTCTTCACTAGCATCTCGAACTGGGCTAAGCTCGCTACCACGCTAGTCCACCTCGGCGACTACCAGGCCGCTGTTGAGTGCGCCCGTAAGCCAACAACATCAAGGTCTGGAAACAGGTACACGAGGCCTGCGTGGAAAAGAAGGAGTTCCGTCTCGCCCAGATCTGCGGTCTCAACCTGATTGTCGATGCTGAGCAGCTCACAACCCTCGTAAAGCAGTACGAGCGCAATGGGTACTTTGATGAGCTTATTAGCTTGTTAGAGCAGGGTCTTGGCCTCGAGCGCGCTCATATGGGTATGTTCACCGAGCTTGGCATTGCGTTGTCCCGCTACCACCCTGAGCGCCTCATGGAGCACCTCAAGCTCTTCTGGAGCCGTGTCAACATGCCCAAGTTGATCCGTGCGTGCGAGGAGGCAACCCTCTGGCCCGAGCTCGTCTTCTGCTACTACCACTACGATGAGTACGACAACGCGGCACTTGCCGTTATTGAGAGGCCCGAGAACTCGTGGGAGCACCACCAGTTCAAGGAGATCATTGTCAAGGTGGCCAACCTGGAGATCTACTACCGCGCCATCAAGTTCTACATTGAGCAGCACCCGTCGCTCCTCACCGATCTCCTCCAGGTTCTCACTCCTCGTATTGATGTCAACCGTGTTGTCAAGCTGTTCGAGAAGAACGACGACCTGCCTCTGATCAAGCCTTTCCTTCTCAACGTTCAGACTCAGAACAAGCGCACCGTCAACAACGCCATCAACGACCTGTTGATCGAGGAGGAGGACTACAAGACCCTCCGCGATTCTGTTGAGAACTACGACAACTACGATCCTGTCGATCTTGCCGCCCGCCTCGAGAAGCACGACTTGATCTTCTTCCGCCAGATTGCTGCTAACATCTACCGCAAGAACAAGAGGTGGGAGAAGTCGATCGCGCTGTCCAAGCAAGACAAGCTGTACAAGGACGCCATCGAGACGGCCGCCATCTCTAGCAAAACCGACATTGTGGAGGATCTGCTGCGTTACGTGAGTGTTACTCTGCTTTTTGACTTTTGCGCATTTCTCGCTGACAATTTTCTTCTAGTTCGTCGACATTGGTAGCCGCGAGTGCTACGTCGGCATGCTGTACTCTTGCTACGACCTCATCCGCCCTGACCTCGTGCTTGAGATCTCTTGGCGCCACGGCCTCAACGACTTCACCATGCCGTACATGATCAACATGCTGTGCCAGCAGACCAAGGAGCTGGCAACGCTGAAGGCGGACAACGAGGCCCGCAAGGCCAAGGACAAGGAGCAGGAGAAGGACGACACGAACACGCCCATTCTCGGCGGCAACCGCCTTATGATTACTGCCGGTCCCGGCGGCAGCCAGTCGCCCGCGCCTTACGGCCAGACCAATGGCTTCGCCCCTCAAGCGACTGGCTACGGCTTCTAGGTGCAGGGTCCAGCCTGGTACTATGTGAGCGGAAGGACACACCCGCATCAGTGGGCATCGTCGGCCATACCGAGGAGTGCTGCGGCTCACTGGTATGCCCCTGCAGGTGGCGAAGCACTTGGGCGGCCGCCACCGGCGCTGCAGATGTGCAGTTTGTGCGCTGCGCCGTGGTCACAACAAGCGGCCGCAGCAGCAGCACTTGAGTTAGTAGGCCGAGGGAACGAGAGTCTACGTCAGTAGACGAGGGCGTCGGGTTCGCTTTTGGGTGCCTGTAATCCTACATCTTCTTTTATTGCTCTTCCCAGGTTCAGAGTCAGTCGACAGCTAGCATGGGGGATGCACAAGTTGGCTCTTCTGGAGACGTAGGGAAAGGAGCATGGAGTAGATTGTGTGTCAGTTGGTATCGTCTGCTATTTTCTTGCAGACATTGTATGATAGTACATTGATGTTATTTCACGCCGCGTTGTGTTTGCTGTCATGGGATGTATGTTATTCATGAAGCACGCAGTATGTACTGGGCCATGGCATGGTGTTGAATGATTGTATTTTAAAAGAAAAACGCCGATCCTCATACTTGTACAAATCAACACATACATGACGCGCTACATACGTGTCAAAGCTACACAAACGACACCAACACGACTGACGACTCTCACGACTCAATCTTAGGCTTCGCATCATTGACCTTGACCCACTCGCCATTAAAGGCATTGATCAACCAGTTGCTCAGCTCTGTAGGCGTGTTAGCGATCGCGCGGGTCTGACAAGTGCTAGAGGCAAAAAGAAAAGGAGAGGTCAAAGGGGAAGGCGGCGACGTACTATCGTACACGATGCGGTTCGCATTGTGAAAGTAGATGCTGTGATCGCTGTCGGGGAAGACGTGGACGTCGTAGTTCTCGACGCCGGCGAGGTCGAGCTCGTCGAGGAGTGTCAGGGTGTTCTGCATGTGGACATTGTCGTCGGCGACGCCGTGCATGACGAGGAAGCGCTCGTTGGCGCCGAGGGCGGTCGTGTTGCTGATGGCCGTCTGCTGGTAGCCGTTGCGGTTGAGGTCCGGGGTGCGCATGTAGCGCTCGGTGTAGATGCTGTCGTAGAAGCGCCAGTCGGTGACGGGGGCGACGGCCATGCCGTAGCGGAAGGTGCGGCCGGCGTCCGTCTCGAGCGTCTTGAGCGTCGCGAAGCCGCCGTAGCTCCAGCCCCAGATGGCGAAGGCGGTCGGCGTCGACGTAGCGCTTGGCCGCCCAGTGGCGCGCCGCGGCGATCTGGTCGTGCGCCTCCCACCGTCCGAGCTGGTCGCGGATGAGGACGCGCGCCTTGCGGCCGATGAAGCCCGTGCCGCGGCCGTCGACGGTGACGACGACATAGCCGAGGGCCGAGGCGACGTACGACTGGAAGTCGACGGCGAACTTCTTGGTGACGGTCTGCGAGCCGGGGCCCGAGTACTGCTGGAACAGTACGGGGTACTTCTTGTTCTTGTCAAAGTGCGGGGGCCGGCGCTCTACATAGTTGAGCTCAACGTCGTCGACCTTGATTGTGCCGTACTCGAGCACCGGGAGCTCGTGCTTCTTGGCCTGCTGGGTGAGGTCCTTGTTCTCCTCGATGATGCGTTCGTACGACTTGGGGTTCGAGGGAGTGCTGACGACCTTCTGCCAGGGCACCTTGGGGCCCTGGTATGAGAGGAGACCGAAGCCGGCGCCCGAGGAGAAGGACACGTCGTAATAGCTCTCGTGGGTCGTGTCGGTGAAAGGCTTCATGTCTGTGCCGTTGAGGTGCACGCTGTAAATGTGACGCTGAATGGACGACTCCTTGGTCGAGCGGAAGTAGACGAGGTTGTTCTTGAGATCGACCGCGCTCGCACTGCCGTCGACTTCCCAGCCAGGACCTTCGGTGATGTAGACGGGTTTTGGGTTGTCCATCGGCGTGAAGTAGGCCAGGTGATCGCCATCATTGTGAATGACAGTATCCACGTAGCCATCGTGCGGACGGCCGTTCTTGGGGTCCGCGGGGATGTACATCACATGCGAGATCTCAAACCAGCCACCATCAATCTTGGCCACGTCTACGTGCTGTACCGTCTTGCCAGTACGGGCCACGATGTCGATGAGGTTGACCTGCAACACATCGCTGACGCGGTTCGTCGTCTTGACGAGGACGTTGCCGTCGGCCCACATGACAAAGTTGATGAGCTTGTCCTTCTCGGGAAAGTCACCGTCAATGTCGACAGTGAAGACGTCACCCTTTTCGACGTCGTAAAAGAGGAGATCGACGACGGGGTTCGGGCTGCCGACCTTGGGGTACTTGATCTGCCTGACCTCGGGGTAGTTCTCCTCGCCGACTTCAGGCTCGGCGCCGCTGGGGCGCGAGACGAAGTACTGGATCGGGTATTCAGGGACCTCGGTCTCGTTGGTTCGCAGGAACGCAACGTGCTTTCCGTCGGCAGACCACCACGTGGCACTGTTGCCGCTGAAGACCTCCTCTTCATAGACCCAGTCGGGGATACCATAGAAGTATTCGGGGCCTCCGTCGGTGGTGATGGGGGTGACCTTGTCGTCAGCGAGCTTCCTGAGGAACAGATTGTTGCTCCTCGTGAAGACGATGGCGTCGCTCTGGGCGTTCCACGTCGCCAGCTGGACCCTCTCCTCGGGGTGGGCGGGATCGAGAGGCTCGGCAGACTGCGACTCGACGTCAAAGACCCAGTAGAGCGCGGTGAACGAGTGGCGCCAGTTGCGCTGCTTCTGGGTGGCGACGAGGACCTTCTTCTGGTTCTTGCTGGGCCAGGTCTGGAGGATGCTGTGCTGCTGGTCGCCCCAGTAGAACCACGGGTCCTTGATCAGGGTGCGGCTCTCGGCGGCGTCGGGGTGCGCCTCGCCATCAGCCGAGCCCTGGGACCGGACATCCTCGACGACGAGAAAGTGCTTGCCACGCGCCTCCTGCTCGAGCAGCAGCCCGTCCTCGCCGTCGGGCCCGGGGATCCAGCTGAATGTATGGGACGTGGGTCGCCAGAAGCCCGATTGGACCTGGTCGAGGGTCACGCGCTTGCCCGACTTGCGGTTCGTCGCCGCAGGGTCATGGTCAATCTGGCTGCCGTGCTTGTACGATTTGTTGGTCAGGAAGACGACGAGCGAGACGATCCAGGCGGCGACGAAGAAGCCGCCGACGATGAGGAGGACCTTTTTGAGCTTGCGGTCGACGCCTTTGCGCGGCGGTGTGGTCTCTGATGAGGCTCCTAGAAAGGGGCCCGTCTCGGGGTCGTTGATGTCGGACTCTTTGATGGCATCGCTGTTGTCGTCGGTATAGGCGTGTCGGGCAGCGGAGGGATGCGGTCGGGACGAGGCGTCGTGGTTCTTCTCGGACTCCTCGGCGAGGCGGTCGAAGACGAGGCTCGTCGTGGAGGCGCTCGAGATGGAGGATTCGCGAGAGTGACGGCGGTCCAGTGTATCTTGTATGGGTTTCGGCTCAGACATGGTTGCGACGCTGAGGTTGGCGCGATTCGAGGTGCACGCGTGACCGCGGCGGAGGGTGAGGCAAGTGACTTGGTGGGAAAAAAGGGAGGGGCCGCGCAAATCAGGTCTCAGATTCAGCGATGTTGCGTAGATGCATTGCGGTCCAAGGCAGATACACGCCGATCAGCCTTTCTACAAGTTTGCCGCAGGCGTCTATACAGGTAAGGTCAGATAGAAGCAGGTGAGGGGCTGTCTTTGTCAGATGCTTCCAATCCGGGGTATCAATAGCTCTCGAGCTGGTCAGTGGGGATTGGAGCTAGAGCTATCCCGGAAGCATCTCAACTCCACACCAGACCCGCCTGTATCAGGTGTACTATCACAGCACCGTGGCTCGTTCATCCTTGATGGAAATAAAAGAGATATAGCCATCACATGTATACATCTAGGCTTACCTGAAATTGCCTCGCCAGAATTTTTCCCCGTACCACCATCGATAGGCTTCCCTGCGCTCTGAAAGCCACCCGTCGTAGTATTCCAATGCGTAAAGGTTCTCGACCCATGTTCCTGGCATCAGCTCCAGCGGCCCCTCCACCAACCGCCAAAAATCTTCCGCGAACGCTTCAACTCCAAGATCGACTGTTAAAGTCCAGTCGTCCGCCTGAGGCCCGTAGCAAAATTCCATCGGGTATGAGTCAGTAGCCAGCAGTCTTCGTCTCGTTGTTCCCTGGCTGGCCTGCCAGATCGCATGTTCTCGAGCGCCGTAATCATCAAGACTGATCCCAGCTGCAGTCAGTATTTCCAACCAGAACATGATATTTCTTTTCATGGATAAATCTTCCTTCAGGGTGTAAAATGGCATGCTTCTTCCCAAGAAAGCCATCATCGCAGTCCATGTCCCGTGATGTGCGGCACGCGCGGGTTTCCTAAGCGTCCCAACGAGCCATCCGGAAGCGTGAAGGTCCGCCTTGCATCGAATGATTTCCTTTACCAACACTTGCCACCCCTCCCTCTCCGGGTTTTCGTCTCTCAGAGAGAAGCTTCTGACATACCGCCGCCGCCAGCCCAACTGCCGTGCAGCCAAGGATAGCAGCGGCCGGCCAGTTTGCTGCAATGCTTCTGCTGCCTGGGTCGACTCAACGCTGCCTACCATGAAACAACGGCGGAAAACGCTGGAGGAAACAGGATAGTCGGCAAAGCCTTGGGCGACCAAGTCTAGCACACATTCTTGCCGTGTCTTTCTGGGATGACGCCAGCGGTAGTCCCTGAAGAACTTGTCAAACGCCGTCACGTCCCATCGCACCACGAGCGGGAATTTGGCGTCCTGAATGGGCTCGTCACGTTCCGCAACCCAGTCATCGAAGTCTATATGACGCATGCAAGCTTGAGCGAAAGCCTCCGATGGTTGATCATCTACTCCAAAATTGAACTGGTTGTACAAAGAGATGATAGCCGAATCGACCTCGGGATGTAAATGCACCACTAGGAAGCTGAATGTAGCAGGACGTAAATAAAAATAGGCTGCCTTCCATTCACGATTCTATGTTACTGCTGAGCAAAGCGGGGGACAGGAGTCTACTCACTTGCAACAAAGATTGGCCAAACTGGTCGACACAGAAGGGCGATGCGGCACGCGTCTCGAACAATCGTTGTAGGCCCAGGACATCGTCATGACGGATACACGTGAAAACGTCTGAAAACATATCCACGACTTGGTAGGTTCTCAAGCCAAAGTCCCATCCATTACTGGCATTGGAGAAGCAGAATTCCCAGCATCTCTCAACGAGCCATTTTGGAGGGGCGATGGAGGCGCGGTAAGCTGCCAAACTTTAGCAGCAACTTTACCCTCGATGGGGACGATCAAGAGACCGGGTAAGCCATACATGAGACCGAGGTGAACGTTGATGACTTCTCACTCTTCGTCACCGAATACTTTCCCAGCACTGACAGCGTGTATGACGAGGACCATACAGTCGTCTGCGTCTTGCTAGTCCACCTTTGTGCCGGTTCACGAGGACGAGCCCTCTGTAGAAGCACGACGCCTTCTTCGTCGACGACCTCGTCTTCTTCTTCCACTTCGACGACTAGAGGCGTCTCGCCCGCAGGCGGAAACAGGGCTGCCATGCGCGACATGATAACGTCAGGCTGAACTCTTACCAGCGCTCTGCTCATGTCAGCTACAGCTTTCCTAACAGGCCTTCTTCAAAAATCTTACTGTGTGTAAAGGCTCTGCGCGTTCTGCAAGAGAACTAGCGCCAGCTGCAATCTACGCTCGCATCGAGCGAGGGCTTCCTTCCTCAGATAGACTTTGGCTCGGGCACGGTATCGCTTTGAGCGCTTCGTCGCCGCGATCTCACTCGAGAGCTCCTCGACAAGCATTGACAGTTCGTCTTTCGTCTGGCGGCAGTACTCAACGCTCTTCAGCGCCGCGGGGTCATTTCGTAAGAGAGGCCAGGTCAAAGACGAGGTGCCGGCCGAGGAGGCGAGGTTGTCGTCCATCTCGCCGAGAATCGGCTCGACGACCGCCACCTGCTCCATCAGGCTGCGGATGGTATCTGGCACCTCCTTGAGCTCATCAAACAGCTGCTTGAGCTTGAGGACGCGGCCGCCGAGACGACCGGCGACCTCAAGAAGAGCAATGCTGCCGGTGACAATACCAAGGACCTCTGCCATTGTGGAAATGGGAAGTGACGTGACGAGTGCGTCAACCAGGGTTCGAAGAAACTCAGCTGACGAAGCAGAGAAGTCCTGGGATGTTTTGGTGAGAAACAAAGTCGCTTCGGCACCGACGCAGGTTCAATAGCAATGACAGAGACAATGTCGCCGCTGATAGCGATCCTGTTATTGATGGTTTGATCACAGATATCAACGAAATTAGGTCGCCTTGGATAAGAAATATAGTGTGAAGGACGAGGATAGAGGATCAGGCTCGGAGCCTGATGGGAGGGTGGTTATATTCAGGCCTCCAACGAATCCGCCTGCATAGCATCCTCTTCGTCATTGGGTCCCCGCTCCCTGATTCTCGTGCTGATCCAGCCTACTACCAACTGGGTTATTCGAAATTCACAAGCGAGACGGTGCCGAGCATGAGCAACTGCTTTCCCGTGAAAACGAGACAAAGGTCGGTGGCACGACATATAGGTGAGGCTGAAGCAGGACACACGACTTTACCGAATATACACCACGCCGTCTCGATACCGGTGACGCATGTTAAGCAGAACCCGAAGGTCCGGTTCCTCCACAATCGTGACAACTTTCCAGGGAATCAACGCTGCAATCCAGTGGGCAAACGGACTCCGAATACCCAGCCCCAGGTGGCAACCAATGCCTATACTTCTGCATTTCCACCTCGGGAACAGGATACCAATAACTCTACATCTTCTCGCGATATTCGCGCCGCCTCGTTTCGCACTTGAGGTTGTCCTTGGGACATTCCCACCCGTGCTCTTCGATCTTGATGCGATCGAGACATTTTGTACAGCGCCACCACTTGGCAGACATCTTACGGCTGTCTAACCATGAATCTTCAATCTTTCCTCCTTTTTTATTGACGTCTTCCTTGTGCGTTTCCTGCAGGTGCAGTCGGAAACGGTCTTTGCGACTGAACCCTTCGGTGCGCCGGGGGCAGGCGGCATAGTCGCAGTGGAACATCTCCTTTTCTTTCGCATCCTTTCCATTAGTGCTGCCGTCCTGCGGCGGAGGGGAGCCAACAGCGCCGGCGGCTGCTGCTGGATTAGAGGCCAGCACTTGTGGCGGCACGGAGCCGGTGCCGGTCATAAGCACATCGTCGCCCGGGGGAGGAGGCCCGAGCGCAGCGACGGGTGTGGAGATGCCGTCTGCATGGGCTTGCTTGTAGTGGCGGTCGAGGTCAGTCTTGCGCTTAAACGGCTTGGAGGGGCATGCCGCGCTGAGACATGTCCACTCAATATCTTTCGGTTGCTGTACGGGCGATCGGTTGGTGACGGCGAGGGGTATCACGCTGGGAAGGGTGTCCGAGGGCGGGTACCCAGGCTGTAGCTGCCAGAAGCCACCATCGTCGGCTGGATGGTAGTCGTATAGAGACCAGTCAAAATTGGCAAACGAGACCTTTTCCCTGCGAGTTTGCCACCCAGGTCAGTCTGCATGCTCGCAAATGGTCATGTGGTGGTTGGGGGGAGGAATTCTGCGAACCATTGTTGAGCCGGATTCAGGCCTTGCGCCGTTGCTGGCAGCATGCCCTGTGGCATCATGCCCAGGCATGCGCCCGGCGCATTCGCTGTTCCTGGGGCAGATGCATTGCGCCCGGGGCATTCGCTGTGCCTGGGGCAGATGCGTGGCTTTGGAGCTGTGCTTGAGCTTGGGCTTGAGCTTGGGCTTGAGCCTGTGCTTGACCCTGGGCCTGGGCCTGGGCTTGAAGATGAGGAGGCAGTTGCTGCAGCTGGGAAGTCCTCTATTGGGGTGCATCGGAGGAGGTGCCATGGCGAAGAGGGCGCCGTGATCTTGAGGCGGAGATGGATCGATCAGCGACATTTGGCTTACTCCTCGATGGATCGTTGGCGTCGGGGGATTGAATCTGGGGTTGGAAGAGGATGCAAGGCAGAGGTGCAAGGTCTGGAGATGATGACAGGTAACGAACCTTCGCCCTCAGTTCTGCCGGGTGCCATGTGCGGGTTGAGAGAGAGAAAGAGAGAGAGAGAGAGTCTCGCCGCGTCGCGTAGAGCTGTAGCCGCTTGCTTGATGGAGGCTTGAAGCTTCAATGTTGGAGATCGCTCGTTGGAATTGGGAGGGAAAGGCTAAGGGTCTTGGGAGCTCGAGAAATCGGGTTCGAGCTTGTGAATTCGAAACTTGGGCGAGGTAGTCGTCGGGCTCAATCAATTAATCAATTCATCCAGTTCGGGCGGGCGCACGCGCTCGGCTCACTTGATCGTCACGAGGGCGGGGAGCAGATGGGTCGAGGAAAGCTGGAGGAGGTCAAGGTCCATGGCTCGGCGGGAGTGAGGACAGTGTGTGAAAGAAAGAGACGGAAGGTGCTTTCGGTTGAGGAGGAACAAACAGATGAGGACATGTAGCAGGAGGAACAGAGCAGGAGCAGTAGTCATGGGCAATGAGCAGAAGGGAGGCGAAGGGGGCGTTCGCTTGCTTCGCGCTGAGCTGGTCCGTCGAGGGCCGCAATAGAGGATGTTCGCCCGTTGGCCAGCTGTTTGTGCTCTGTCGTCTTTTTCCCTCTCTCGAGAGAATGACGAAGAGGAAAAGGACCTTTCCGTCCCCGTGGACACGGCGAAGAGAAGAACCTAGGAGTATCCAGATCGAGAAGCTCGAGCGGCGACTGTACAGAAGGAGTAGCACCAGCGATAGAAGCAACGACAGCAGCAGCCACAATGCGAGGCGGGGTGCATGTTTGTCCAATCCGATCCAATCCAACCCCGGGGGGAGACCGTGACAGTTTGATGGATGGTCTCATTGCCTCGCGCTCGGCGGGCGGCCAGGTTGGCTGGCAGCGGGTTGGCGGACCACCCCTCCTCCTCTCGCCTCCTGTACCTGACCAGCAGCGCCCACATACCCCCTCCAGAAAGCCAAGGGGAGCACCTGAACACACGAACGGACCACGGCGGCGGCGGCGGCGGCGGCGCAGATGACAGATGAGATGAGATGAGCGTCCTGAAGGATGCCGCGTTAGCGGTTCGGAGACGCAAGAAGCCACTTGGCAGTTGGAGTAGGGAGGCACGGCGCCCCAAATAGGCGGCAGGGATCCTGGATCCAGATGGTCCAGATGGGTAAGGATATGCGGCTTGCGAGGTGTCGAGCTGGTCACACTCCATGGGTCCTTTTGGTTTTCGTTCTCGTTTTCCCTGCCCTTGACCGTGAAAAATGACCATGTGGGTGGGCAGCTGTCGGGGGTCCTTGGGCCAGGGACATTGTGCGAGAACGCAAGGAGGGTATCATCTCGTCTGCAGTTTTGGGGGGGGGGGCGGCAAGGCGGCGAGTGTGTGATAGTGTTGCTGTTGGCGTTCGTTCTGGTTGGGTGTGGGTGGATGGACATCTATCTACCTACCTAGGTAAGGTACTCAACTAAGGTAACCCTAGGCTGCCTAGGTGGTTATTATTAGGGAGGTATCGTAGGTGAGCTTGGTTGAGCTCTCGGTGGACAAGGTGACTGATGTGCTCGTTGTTCGGTAAGTCTCGGTAAGAGTCGGATCAGGAAACCTGCGGGTCACAAAAGTCCAACCCCACCTTGCACGTACGAGCAGGTGGGACTGGTGCCTCCACACCTCCTCTTCTCCTCAGACCTCAGCTTCGCGCGTTGTTACTTTTTGCGGAGGCAGGTTGAGTAGCATCGGGCAATGATAGCCGTTGCGCCGTTCGGAGCATGTGCTCGCGCTTTTTCGTGGTGTATCGATTAACCTTACAGACAGCACCGATGAGCATCTGGAAGACATAACTCCCGTGGTTTGCGACAGCATTTTTCGCCCCCTTGTTGCTTTGGGCATCGACGCCACCCCCAAGACGAGTGTGGCCCAGTAGTAGTGGCAGCAGCAGAAAGAGTGGACAGGTGGTCAATGGAGGATTGCGTGCCACCTCTCATGGCCTCCAGCAGCCCCGAGCTCAGAGTAGGGCGGGCCTCGGGCCCATTTCTCAAAAAACGAGGTTGGGATGCCTCAGATCCAGACAGAACAGGTCGGGCTGCATCGTCATCATGGACACACAAGAGTTGGACAGCAACAGCTATTTACGTGGCATCATGAGCAGGCTAAGCAGCTTTGTTGCTAACAGAGCTCCTCTTTTCGTGTCACCAAGGCTCAACTACTGGCCGGCCCCATGTCTCCCCATGCTTCCCAGTGCTCCCCATTTCTGACTTGGCCGGTTCCCATTTGGCCCATCCAAGTGTCTAGTCATCTGTGGATGCCAGTGCCGTGCATAAGTGTCTCTGCCAGACGACCGCCCTGCCAGGAATCAGCAGCCAAAGCGGACAAAGCAAGCACGCAGGTTGGTCGGGCCCATCTATCGGTGACCAGCAGAGAGAGCAGCCAGCAAAGCTGCCCGCCCAGCTCGATCGAGGTGCCCCCTTCATACAAAAATCTCTGCAACCCTGCGTCGGACGGAGGGGGTTTGAGTTCTGCAACCCTCGCCGGTCCTCCATTCCTGGGGACGAGGAGAGAGAGAGAGAGAGAGAGAGAGAGAGAGAGAGAGGAATCGACAGTGTCCTCATACCTTTGTTGGATTACATTCACACCCACCCTATCACTTCGGACTTGCTCCCACGGCCAGGAAGAAGTGACGAAGCTTGAGGGTACGTACCTCGCGACGTATCGCTTCCTCATCGCATCGCACCTTCCGGCCGTCCAAGGAAGGGGTCAGCTTCCCCACCCAGGGCGCCATTGCCCACTGAACGGGATTTTGAGGGCGACACCTCGCAGCACCCTGCGACTCCCAGAGTTGGGCACTCGGACACACTCGGACCAGGGGTGCTCCTACCAGCTTGTGCCGGGTCTTGGCGCAAATCGTCCATCTCCCTTTTCTAACCCCTGAACACGAACCATAT